GGTCAACTCAGGGAGGGTATCATCACATCACCAGATGGGGGATGGGCCTGGCAAAGAGCCGCCCCCCCCCCCCCCCCCCCCACCCGCCATCACGTCCCTCACTTTTAAATGACTTCATTGATAAAACATGCCTCGAGCGAGCAGGCAACCAGATGGCGCTGAGCCCAGAAGCCGAGCGGGCGAATGACTCAGTGCGGGTCGCATGACGCCGACGTCAGACCGCTCAGCCGGCCCCGCTTTTCTTCACTTGCCGGAGGAGTGAGACGCCCCTGAGACTTTCACCCGGAAAAGTCCGCCAATAGGAAAGAGGCAGGGCCGGGCGGGGCGGGGCCTTGCATTCATAAACATCCCACTCCTGACAAGTTCGGTGTGATTGATTTCTCGGGGAGGGGCGGGGTTTAACTGAACCGCAATTTGCAAGCTGTTAAGAAAGCGCCGCTAAGCATGTGCAGACTGCTTAGTCGGAGTGAACTATGTGATTCTATTCATTTATTCAGATTTTTTTTCTTTTATCCCGCTTTTATTACTTTATAAATAAGTCAAGGCGGTGAACATATGTAATACTCTTTCCTACTCCTATCTTCTCACGACAACCCTATGAGGTGGGTTATCGGGGAGAGGGGAGACTTGCAACATTTTAAAGTGACATTTACTTTAATATAAAAACAGTTCTTTTCACTATACTGTAGTTTGCGTAAATCACCTAGCCGGCATCGTTGGGTTAGCTGCTCCTTCTCAGCTAAAAGATTCAACGGGTTCAGTGCTGAGAAGTAACGGAGCCGCGATAAAAGTTTGTACTTGCCGAAAAACTGCAGGGAGTCATTGTTAATCTTGAGAAGATGACCGCGCCGACTTTGTATTGAATCTCTCCCTCCTCCTTGGAGGGTTCGCAGATCTAAATCTTTCCCCTTAGCGTCATGTGTGAACGCACCATGCTTATGCAGGACGCTCCCCAGCATCTACCGACACAGGTGGCTACTAGAAAGTTGGATTACTGGGAAGCCGGCACATTTGTCCGTTTAAAAATCGCTGCGAGGTTTTCATTCCACGTTTTCTACACGGAGGGCAGCCACGGCCGGGGCTCCTGATAAGCGGTCAATCATAAAAAGGGATCCAGACAAACTACATTCGTTCATTCATTCATTCGTTCGTTCGTTCGTTCGTTCGTTCCTAGCCTCATTCATTCTTCCGTCAGCCTCCCCCTCCTCTGTTTTATCTCCATCTGCCGGCTCTTCCTCATCCCTCCCGAGCCCCTTTCCCAATGTCGCTTCAAACAGCACCGGGGACGGGACGGGGGACCGCGAGCGGTCAAAGGCGGCAATTCAACAGGTAGAGAGAGCTTCCCGGCACCTTCCCGTCCCAACCCTGAAAAGCCACCCCTATTTGCTCCCCACCGACTCCTCAGTTGTTGAAAAGTTTGCTGAGAGATAAAGGGACTCCCCCCCCTACAACTCCCCGTCCTAAATGCTCCCTGATCCCCATTTACCTGCGATGAGGTCTCCCCGGGCGGAACCCAGCAACACGGGCAAGAGCCCTAGGATGACTCCCCAGGTAAGCATCGCAGGTAGGTCTTGCTGCTGCTGCTGCTGCTGCTGCTGCTTCGCCGCTGCCGAGGATGTCGGATCGCGAGCGACTGACCGTCAGCTTCGCTCTCTGACTCAGTGCTGGAAACTCTCCCCGGCCCGGCCCGGCCCGGCTCCCGGCGAGAGACGCCCCCGCACTCGGGGATTGGCGGGCGCGCGGCCAGAGCTCCGCGTTCAGTCCTTTGATCTGCGGGGGAGGTGCGGGGGGCGGCGGGCGGGGGAGAAGGGTGAGCAGGACGGAGTCAGTGCAGGGAAGGAAACGGCCCGGCTGGGGAAAGGGAAGGCGGGGGAGGCGGCGACAGGGAGCGGGGGGACTCGAGCTTTGGCCTGACCCGGTTTCTCGGAAGTCCCGCTGGGCTGGAAATCCTGTGGCCCTTCTGGAACGGGCCGCTTTCCACCGTTAGGGCTTTTCTTTTCGTGTTTCCAGCGAGGTGTTTTGAAGCCACCAGCCATAATAATAATAATAATTGTAATTTACAAAAAGTTGCAGGATTTGGACCAGCAATTTAATATGGGTCACTTTAACTATCCAAGATTCTCATCGTTAAAAGTGCTGTACCAAATCCAGTCCACGCAATCTGGAGGACTTTATGTCAACAACAAAAACAATAATATGAAACAATATATATAATATGAAATAATATAATTATAATATAATATGAAGTAATATAACATAATATCATTAATATAATAATAGAAAATTGTATCTCATAGATACTGACGAATTTGCTCTGAAGTTTTTACCCAGGCAGTCATTCAGGGTTTGCTATGCCTTGTAATGGACATGGTACTATCCTGATTTATTTATTTATATGTTTATTGTTTCATTTCCCACCTTTATTTTGTATAACTCAGGGCAGGGGTACAAGATGCTCGCTCTTTCCATTTTTCCCACAACAACCCTGCGAGGTGGATTGGGGGAAGGTCCAAACTCACTGAGGCGCCTTTCATGCCGAGAACTCATTGTTTCTTGGTTTCTAGACCAGCAATTTAAGCACTACTGGACCAACCTGGCTGTCCCACCAGTAATGGTAGAAGCCATGGACAGCTTGTCCCTAATCCTGTCCAGTTCCCTTTTAACACTCTGGCTATTGGCTGCCATCCTGGGTGGTGTGCAGAAGGTCCCTGCATTTGGTTTCAGTCTGTGACCTTGGGCTCTGGTGGTGTGAGAGGAGAAGCGGGGGAATCTCTCAGGCCAACTACGTGCATGGTTTAAATATGTATCATGCAAGAAATATATTAAATTCCTGTGAACTTCGAAAACTTGTCATAATTTCTGAAACCATTTTAGTGGGGGTAATGCCTCTTTTGTGATCTTTGGTCTGGTAAATGCATTGTTGTATTCTGCCATACTCTTGTGTCTTCCGGAACATATTGTTCCCATCAGCCACAGCCAGTGCTTGCAGAAGGATGGGTACTGTAATCCAGCCCATCACGAAAATGTGGATGTTTGTATGCATGTTGTAGGAGATGGCAATTGCCAGTCTTGTCTCGTCTCTTTTTCTACTGGATGGGATACCAACAGGAAAGCCCAAGAAGATTGGGAAGTTGCTGAAATCACAGCAGAAGAAGATAGTTGTGAATTGCTTCTGTGAAGATAGTCCTCAACTTACAACCTTTCTTTTAGTGACCGCTCAAAGGTATAAGGGCACTGAAAAAAGTGATCTAGTTTTTCATACTTAGGAAAACTTTGCAGCATCCCCATGGTCACCTCTGGGCACTTGGCAACTGGCTCATATTTATGATGGTCGCAGTGTCCCTGGATGATGCATCACCATTTGCAGCATTCTGAGAACCGAAATCAATGGGGGAAGCCAGATTCAATTTACAGCACTAATTTAACAACTGCAGTGATTCACTTGACAACTGGAGCAAGAAAGGTCGTAAAATGGGGCAAAACTCACTTGACAAAAGTTTCACTTAGCAACAGAAACTTTGGGCTCAGTTGTGGTCATAAGTCAAGGACTAGCTATACAATATTGCTCCAAGAAAATCATAGGGACTTGTCCTTGTGGTCAACATGGATGGAACTCAAGAGAGGTTTTATTTTTAAATGCTTTGGAAAGGGGAGGAGAATGTAGAATCTGACATATAGAGATTGGATAGATATTAAAAGAAAGTGCTTTTTCAACATACAGATTGTACTGAGAGATGCTTGATTTTGGGTCAGTCCAAGTGCTGAGGTTTTGGAGTAGATCCACCGGAGTGGGGGCAGAAAGAGGACATTTTGGAAATTAAAACCAAGGAAGCTTGGAGACATAATAATTGGATACTTTTGGAACTGTCTAGACTGCAAGAAAGCAGCGGGGCAGAGTCATGCAACAGACTGGGAAAGAGTTTTTAAAGGGAAAGAGGAGAAACGGGTTTTCTAGCTTCCCTATGGACAGGCCAGGTTGAAATGTTATAAATTTTAAATAAAGGATATGGGAGATTTACTTATCTGGAGGCAAAGTTGCTTTAGCAGGAGACATGATAGGGATTTCAAAGTAATTTCTGTTTTAGACATTGAATGTTGTGGGCACAGATCAGCCTCCCAGAAACACCCTTTGCCACTTATGACTTATTTGGCATTCCTCCTGCGCTTTTGCCATCTTGTGCATAATTATAGCAAAGTCAGGATTCTGTGTGGCTGGCCTAAAAGCATGATAGACAGTAGATCACTATTTTTCAAACTTGAAAACTTTATGCTGTGTGGACTACATGTCCCAGAATTCTTCAACCAGCATGTTGGGATTTGAAAGCTATATTTCTTAAAATTGCCAATTCAGCTGAATTGAGTTGACTACTTTATTTGGCCAAGTATGATTAGACATGCAAAGAATTTGAATCTGGTACAGAAGCATTAAGTATACATGCAAAGCATCAGCTAGAACAATTCAGTCTGAACATCTGGCTGACTGTGTGACAAATCATAATAATATTAATACCACCAATTAAAGGGGGAAGTAATAATACTATACTGCAGTATTATAGATACAGGTAGTCCTTGACTTAGCAACAGTTCATTTAATGACTGTTCAAAGTTACAATGACACTGAAAAAAGTGACTTATAACTGATTTTCACGCTTATGACCCTTGCAGCATCCTCATGGTCATGTGATTTACATTCAGATGCTCTGATCATCATTTGCGACCTTCTCACAAGCAAAATCAACGGGGAAGCCAGATTCACAACAACCATCTTACTAACTTAACAACTGGAGTGATTCACTTAACAACAGTAGCAAGAAAGGCCGATGTATTTTATTTTTTCTTTATGTATACTGAGAGCATTTGCACCAAAGACAAATTCCTTGTGTGTCCAGTCACACTTGGCCAATAAAGAATTCTGTTCTGTTCTATTCTATTCTATTCTATTCTATTCTATTCTATTCTATTCTATTCTATTCTATTCTATTCTATTCACAAATTCTCACTTAGCAACAGAAACGTTGGGCTCAGTTGTGATCGTAAGTAGAGGATCACCTGCCAGCTTTCCATATTGTGAGGTTCCATCCCTCCCATGAGGTGACTGACGTACCATTTTAGTTCTGTGCTGATCAACTTATGTTCAATGGACTCCCTTCACTCACTCTGAGTGGTCTCCCCTCCTTCGCTCCCCGCTCCCCCAAGGGCTATCCTCTTTAGTCTTGGTGAATTCCCCTCCTTTGCCCCCCCGTTGTCCAGGAAGGTCACATACAGCCTCACACTTCTAATTGTTAGGGATATATTTCTTTGCCTTTCCTTTGCTGACTTCATACCACAATGCAGGAATGCCCAAGCTTTCAATACACAGGAACTCACTAGCAGGGAGTTGTGCAACCTTAGAAATTCCCTGGTGACAGAGAGGCGAGGCTGGTTGCCAAACTGTTGCAGCCATCTGGCAAGGCCCAGCCCTCCCATTAGTTACCCTTCACTCCAGGCATGTGACTCAGCGGAGGATAAGATTTGAAGTCCTCTCTCACAGGGCCCAGGAGCAATTAAAAATATCCGGTTAAAATGCACACTGTGTTCTGGGAAGTGCTTTTGTCTTTTAAGTAACCATTAAATGCCGCCAACTGTGACACTGACAGGCCGAAGATGGATGGGTAGAGATATGAGGTGCCTGGGGCTTCCCAGATGTGGTTTAGACTCTTAATTCCCATCGGCCTTGCCAATTCTGGACCTCATTGTTCCTATCGAGGATAGCCGAGTTAACCAGGTGTAGGTTTATGTGATGGAGACTGGATAAGGTAGCTAGAAAGATCTAGTTTGTGGAATGTTTCACTCTTCACACAGCATCTCTTTAATTGAGGCTTTTGAACCTCAGCCAGTGTGGTTTCAGAAGACTGAGCACCTATTCCACTGCCTGGCGACTTCCAAACATTTCTATCTGGATAATTGGGAATTAGCCTCCTCTGCTGCTGGACACCCAAATCAGGACAGGCCACCATCACTCTATCAGCGACATCAATCCCTGCCCACGCCAGTCCCTGCGTGCTAAAGGGAGCTTAAAGTGGGGTTGGGGAAGCGGGATCTCTCCCACTTCTTCCAGTTATAATTTCTCTTTCTCCCGTTGCCATATCTTGAGCATTTCCCCATGGCCCCTATGAGAGGGCCTTTAGCGCCACCTGCTGATCAGTTTTTGAATCCCGCTTTATTTTAAACCAAATATGGGAAGTATGTATGTATGTATGTATGTATGTATGTATGTATGTATGTATGTATGTTTTTAACTTTTCGTTGACTGCCTTGAGAAGCCCCTGAAGTTTTCTGGACAAGTTATTTTTTTTCTTCCAGAATTGTTAGCCATTGCCTGCTTTGTAGGGCTGAGAGAGAGGGACTGGCTCAGTGTGTGTGTGTGTGTGTGTGTGTGTGTGTGTGTGTGTGTGTGCGCACGCATGTGCGTGTGCAGACGCATTACTAGCATAGGATTGATTCCCACAATAGACATCAAATGAGCAGAAAATAATTTAAATATAAATTGGTCTTGGGACCCATAGCCTGTCTCTCCAAGGAACACAAAACCCACATAAAATGGAGTTCCCCCAACATCCTAGTTCTATGCCTGGAGAAATATCCTGGTTCTCTAACACCTGCAGGAAGCAATCAGGA